AACATGCATTTTGTGCTAGAAGTAGCAAAATTTTATTAAATTTTATTAACTTTCGGGTCTGAGCATATCAGATCAGCATATGGGAAAAATGTCCCTCTACCACGGCGACAGATTGATTTTTCACTAAATATTCACAGATTTGTCTTTAGATGAACAGACAGTCATTTGATTATCTGGCTTTTTGAAATTTTCCTATATCTGCCACCCTGTATTTGATTTGTAGGAAAATGAATAAACATATTAACATACTTAACGTTGTCCTATGATTATTAAAAGAATTCCACTGCTCTAATGACCAAATGTTAGATCTTATCACTTATTAACGGGCAGGGCTGTGATACAGGGTAGCCTGAGGGCATGGAGAAGCGTCCCTTTGATCAGTGGACTTAATATTGGTTGACAAGCTGTCAATCACTGCCCGTCTGTTAATTACGGTACACCTTATCTCAGGTGTGAGCGTGTGTTTGGCGGGGTGGAAGAGGGGGAGGGGGGCGACTAGCACCCCATTTCCATAGATTAGATCGACCTACTTTGGATCGACCTAACTCCCTGGGGGTTCGCGCTGAATAGCTGTCAGCCGGGCGGACACGAAAGTTAATTGCCCCTTACGGCTTGTAGTGGGCGGGGACGGACACTTAAGGGGGATTATCTGACGGTAGTCTGGTGAGACTCCCCGCGGTGATAGATCGATCTAAAGTTGTGGGAATAGACCCTAGGAATAGCAGTGTGCATTTAGTAGTGTCACCATCCTAATCTTGCCTTCGTTATTTTATTTATTTATTTATTTATTTTTTTTTTTTTTGTCAAATGGGAATTGAAAAAAGTTCGTATTTTAATCATGATGACATTAACATTTATGGACAAAAGCATCACGTTCTAAAGAGAAAAACACGTTTACATGTTTTATCAAAGTAGAACAGGTTCTTCAGTTTCAAAAAAAAAAAAATAAAAAAATAAAATTAACATTTGGCGATTATTTCAACAACTCTGTACTATAAAAAGATATTTTTTGATATTGATACACCAGTACCTTACACGCTACTCTTGTCAATGTAGTTATCTTTTTTTCTTCGCAAAAAATTATACATTTTTAATTATAACTAATGCAGTTCACATATTTCAATATGAAGCCAACAAATTCGTTAAAACTGATTTAATCTGAGTGATGTGATTGCTGTCTCTGTTACGAATATGATTACGAGAAATAAGCAAGAAAAGCTGTGGTTATTTATTCAAAAGATCAATTAAATTTATTGAGAACTAAATTCAGCTTCAATTACATTAACAGACACTCTGTTCTGATTAATCTAACATTTACTACACTTAAATAGCAAAATGACATGACAAGCCACACATCACAAGCACTATATGAGCACTCGATTAACACCATTTTGTTACACTTCAAATATCACTGCATTTAATTTGGTATAACACGGGTCAATGTTATTACACTTTCATTAAATTATTTCTTCGCTTTTTTACAATTTTTTCTAAGACAATGTTAGTGAGAGATTAGAAATTATTCATTTCCCACGGTCGGAGATACGTAGTGCAGTATACAGTCAAAACGATTTCACACCTTTTGTAATTAAGTAAATAGCAACGGAGACACTAGGTTCACCATCTTCATCCCTTGGGGGGTTTAACGCCTTAACGATGATTAAAACAATCTGTAAATTAAAATGTTTATGTAGGCCTACTCCTAAGTTTGTTTATTGCATTTCGTACCTTTCTGTGGATGAACATTTACATGAGATTTACATGTACAGACCACGAAAAGATATTTCATATGATTGAAATAAGTAAATGAAAAGCTTTTTTTACGATTCAAATATGTGTACGTGATTGTTATGGGAGGTGGGACTGGAGAGGGGCGTGAGAGTATATTTGGTAAATAAAGATCATTTGCACAGGATCAAGGCATTTTATTAGTTTATTCTATATGAGTTATTTCTTTGAGAATGCTTTTGCCCTTAATAATTATCTTAATAAAAATACACGTATTTCACAGGTTTTTTTTTTTTGACAGATTTGTGGCTTAGGCCATATAATACGGGTAATTAGGTAACTTTTTCATCGCATGTTGAAATAAAAGTAAGTTCACAATATGGGAAATAGTAATTCAGTTGAAATCGTCTACATTGCACTGACAATTATTGAAGTAATTTGTTCTCGAAAGCGATGAGACTAATGCCTGCAAAATTTCAGTGGCGATGTACATCGGATTTTGAATCTAAACAAACCTTCATATTTCTTTTAGTAACGATGCTTGTAATAACTTCGTTTTTAAAAGCCTTGATTTTTTAAAATTGAAATTTCATCAAACACGTTTTGGAAAAAAGGCTCTTAGGAAAGTTCCCACGGTTAAAGATTCAAATTAAATTGTCCATTTCCGTTGTATTGTAACTGCGGTCTTGTGTTTACCCGTGTTAAGTTAACTGCTTAACCCCATGCATGAACGCGCAAGCATTGATCACAGACCCCCGCAATTAAACTGACCCGAGGAGGAGAGATAAGCATCACCCCTCCTCCGGCGATTCACCAGTTAACCAGGTCGGCTTAAGACCAGATAAACATCTGTTTACGACCCTCCCGTACTAGCCATAGAAAACAAACCTGTTGTTTATATCACCCTAGAGAACCAAGGTTAAGAAGACAATTAATTCAACTGGTCCTGGTTGGCGACAATGGGTTTAACTGGTCTGGGATGAGCTATAAAGTACAGGCATGTACCCCCATCCTCACACATCTCCTTGCAGTACGCTAGAAGACGTTAGCACAGCAGCGAGCCCAGCTCCAAGTTTCCTTGATTATTTCACCACACAAGAATGGCTAGAAGTGTAGAACTCCAGAACACCTTGTTGCCTGTGACCCAGCCTCTCTCCATTGATTGCGACGGCGAGGATGTCTTCACAATGCTAGGTAGGTTATTTCTCTGCGAAT